TTCTTGGGCGGTTATTTTAAGATCGGTACGGTACGCCATTACACGTTATCTGTCGACGCAAAAAGGCTTCCACTCAAGAAAAGGTGGTTGTACGTGTAAAAACAAACATACACTGTAGACGGGGGAAATTCATCGTATTAATGAGAAATATGCACTTTCAATAACAACAGTTATTTCCATAAAACCTTCAAAGTCGAAATTTTGTGTCAGCTTTTTGAATAATATGGATATATAGGCTAAGCTTCATTTATGTCTTCTCCCTCGTAAGCCTATCAGAACGTCCCTGAAGCACAGCAATCTAGCACGCCGTCTGAAACCATCGCTTAACTAAACGATTGTTGCAGACATCTTGATAGCATGGGCCTGGTCGTAATTGATGTTATATTCCCCTTCCTGACCGTACACGGGAATAAGAATCCCCCCAAGAAGGTAGGTGGCCTTGCGGTAATCCCAGGAAGGCAGTTGCATGGTTCTGTTGCATTGATTGATGTCCAGAATCTCTAAGGTACCAAGCAGATTAGCTCTTTTTGATCAAATCCAACGTTAGAAATAGTGCCTTATTGGCTAATGGAGTATCCAGTCGACAATAATCTTGTTTGTGAGAAACATGGTGGTAACTATAATGGTGCTCCCTAAACATGCGGCATTGTAGATGCGTTGAACCAAGACCGGGGGCAGATCAGGTTTGCTGTCTCATAACAAGTTCCCAACTTTGGTTGGGGGTAATCGGTGGCCCACGTAGGAGCAGGCTCAAGGACCAGCCATCCTTGACATTTATGGGCCTCCCATTTCGTGGAGTCTGGGTCAACCATGGCAGCTCTGGTTGCTTGCGCCCAATCTGGTATCCGGTCTTGTTGACGCTAGGTTCGGGCAGGTGAGAAAAGAGAGAGTGTGCTAGATGCTGCGCAAGCCTACTATCACTTAAAACTAGCCCCCGCATAAATCATCGTCCCTGCATACTCACGCTTTGGAGCATGTGGTATACATCGTCGGAATCGACGGTCGGTTACTCTAATAGCACAGAGTGACTTGCACAGACGTTTATTTACGATGTATTGAGGTGCGCAATACTTCGTCAGTCTAACGCTTTTCAGTACAATTTTAAAAACAAACGTTGTTTGGCAACATCCTTATTGAGTGTAAGTGGATATGCTGCAACTCTTGAACAAAGGGTATTGTGACGCCTTAGCTGAGAAGTAGAAGACAACTCGATCGCTGGGACTCGCATATTTGCTTGTATTGGCAACGCCTTAACTGTTCATTCTCTTTAATGACGAAAATTGGGCCATTTGCAGACTGCAATAATAATAAACAAAAGATCCTTGGCTTGAAATTTCCTCATTTTAAATTCAGTGAGGAAGTCGGAGTTTATATTACTGATCAACTGAAAAGTTCCTTTATAAGCAAGTCTAAAGCTTGAGGAAAAAACATTGAAACTGGGGGAGGGGGGGAGTTAAGGCACGACTCTACGCAGTATCTCATCCCAATCACACCTTTGAAGTTCCTTGTTCACCTGATTTAGGGATTGCTAGGTGATGTTCTCCAGCAAATCGAACGACAGAGACTTACCTCGTCCACAAATTCGAAAATGTCAGAATTCCGGGATATGAACTATTATTCATATTGGAGACATATCGGAGAGACAGGCCACGACTTCGATATTTAAGGAACGAACATCGTAGGCCAAGGAGCCTCCAAAGGCTGAAAGACTGACGCTTGAAGCATGGCACTCAGACGC